AAAAACATTGACTATCAGTACAAACTTCCTAAAGCAAACCTTTTTACTCTTTTGACTAACAAAAGAATGGTGTGAGGGTTGAGTTATGGTTTGTTGTTTGTTTTGGGTTTGTGTTTTTTTTTTTAATTTCTGTTTATCTGTGTGTGTGTTGTTTGACTTGGAGTTTTTAGAGAGAGAAAAGGACTTTCAACACAGTATTCTCCTTCCAGTAGTTGTCTGTAGTGTGTCTGTTTAGCTAAGAGAGCAGGAGAAACAAACAGAAATGTTATTATTATGTTATTCTTAACTTATATAATTCATAAAAAGGATAAATCTAGAAATCTTGTGACGTTTATTTTATTATTTATGTGAGCCAGATTCATGGGGTGCATCCCAAAAACTGATCTCCTTTGACAAAAAGTTGATCAGTTTGATGCACTGTGAGAAAACACACTTCCATATATCTTGAGCCTAATGCCTGATAATTTCATTTGATCATTTATAGCCCATTTGTCAAGGAAACCTGATAGTTTTCACCACTTCTTTTAATGCCTTCATATGGACCACTGTCAAACCTCTCAGTTTTCTTCTCTAGACTGAAGAATCCTATTTTATGTATTCTATAATGCTGATCACCCTAATCAGTATATATTTTAGAATTTGTATTCTTTTTAACACAGAGTGAGAAGGTCAGAACTGTGAAAAATATTAATGATGCACCTGCATCTTTATTTAAGCAGCAGAATCTATTCTGTTTGATAATTCTTCCTTAATTCTAAGCTTTCATTCTCTGTTGTTTTGGTTTTTTTACTTCTGAGTGCCACTGAACAGTAAACTTCTGGAAGCTTCAGATCCCATCACTGTGTAAAGAAAGACAAATGTACTATTAAGTGTTGCTAAATTTATTTTATCTGCAGTCAGTCAGTACAGAAAAAGTATTCTGTAACTCTCAGATGTGATGTCAGTCCATGACAAACCAAACTCTCACCTTTAATTCTTTCTGAATGCTCATTTTGATTAGCTGAGTTTTCTTTGGAACTGAAAAGCAATATTTAACTTTTATATTAATATGTAATAATATATGTAGCAAATACATTATAGTACCTCATAGAAGTTATAATATGAGAGCCTTTTTCTCCAGCTGGCACTTTTACATTTTCCCCCAATTAATTCTATGCCCTCTTAAATGAGCATGTCACACTAGATGTATCATTAATTAGCCATTATCATTTCACTGACGACACATAAAAACAATCAGAATATTCAGCAGGGACATCCAAACTGATTGGAAAGAGGCTTGACTTACTAGGGTTGGGAAAAAGATGATTGCCTCTTTCTTGAATATATAAAACATGGTTAACTATACTTCAGAGGGACCTGGGGCATTTGTGCATTTTCCTTTCATCTGTACATAAGGCACAAATTAGAGCAAGTAGAAATGCACTGCTTGTTATTGTAGGGTTATACCTACCGTATGGTTTGTTCTTTATCACACATAGCAGCTTTTCAATCCTCTCTGGAATTCAGGATAATTTTTTTTTTTATCAGCATAGTACCAGAATATTCTAAATTCAAGGCATACTTCTTGTTCTACCACCTATAAGGACCCTTTTAATATTCATACTTGAAGTCATGTGTTAGTCTACCACGATTTCATGCTCCTAAAGATAAGGGTGGCAACACGATGCCTGCCAGATGCTCAGAGGTCAGACTGAAAAAGAATATGAAATCACCTATTGTTCCAGGGGTCTCTTCTGGTTCAGAGCAAGGTGGGTAAAAGCTAAGTAGGTGCCAAGCTGATTCCAGGAACTGTCAGCAAAAGGAGACGAAGATTAAAAAAAATGCTCTGACTTTTGTTCTAGCAGCTAATGTAAGATAGGAAACTCGGGAGAAAGTGAAGCAAGTTTGGTAGTTATCCAGTTTTCTAACTCTGTGCTCACCATTACCTGCCACATTAAATGTATTTTGTTCTGTCTTACAAAACCTTAGAATAGATATAGGACCTCATACTGAAGGTCCCTGTTGTCCAATATTTTGTCTCTGACAATGACTAACGACAGAAGTAAACCATTTTCGTGAATGTTAAAATCTACTTCAAAAGCAAGAGATGAAAGTTGTGTATATATGTATATATGAATATAAAACCACACCTAACTAATATGAGTTGTCCATCTGTAACTTTTTCCCCTTCTTTCACTTTTTGCTTGTGAATTTATCAGCCTCTTCTCTTTTCATCAGACCTAAATAATAAACTAATACAGTGTGTGCATCAGTTTGTGGTTCCTTTCTGACTACCAGGATCCCTTTCATCTTATTCTGATTTCTTCACTTCTTCTTGTCTTATCAAATATATATTCATCTAACTTAAAGCAGACTATGAACACCATAATCTCACTGTAGTTAGAATCAGTTTCATTTTCTGGAGTCATGTAACACAGCTACCACATAAGAAGAAAAAGAGCCAAGAAGATGATTTACGCCAATTAGACTAACTACAAGTTGTAAAACCTGCAAGTTCCTTTGGAAAAAGTGAAATTGTACACTTTTGGGTAAAAAATAGAATCTAGTATTCCCATTCAGGGAATTCTGTAGGTGCTGCAGATCCACGAGAGGTAGATAGTAAAAAGACAGCAATTTTTTTGCTCTTGCTCTAGTCTTTCCTTCCTTCTCTGATTCCCCATAGGATTGGAAAAATCTTAAGTGACTCATTCTTATTTAAGTTGCTCTCTCCATGACACTGCAGTTTTTTGAGTGTAAATTTACCAAAGGAGGAGTAAACATGGTATAAACCTGCTTTTATATTACTTTTGCTACTTTGTTCTCTCTGTATTATTCTGGAAAACACAGTTGAAAGGCAGGTTTTTAAAATTCATTATTATAGTGTAAACATAAAAAAGATGGTTGCAATCCTGAAAGTAAAATAGAAGTATGAAAACTATATCTGACTTTCTTGGTCTTTGCAAATCTGCCTTCTCCTGAAGTGAATGCTGAAGAAGCCTGATGAAATTTGCTTTAGTAAGCTTACAAAGAAGGAATGCTAAGATACAAATATTTTTTAACTGTTAACTAAGTCTTTAAAAACATCACCTTAAATAGAATCACATGCCTTATAATTAGCAAAAATCCTTTTTCAGAAATTACAATGCCATACAAATTATGCATTAATAGCTCCCTATTTTCGGATCCTTAAATCGATTTGAAAGTCCTAAAGGGATTTATATCTATCAATTCTGTACCAATTGTATTATACCTATTTGCTGTTCTTTGTTCCGTTTCCTTCCTCAGAGGCTATTCCATACCACTAGAGAATAGGTATTTCACATTTTTTCCCTCCTGGTTTCTTGATAAGTTTATCTAAACCAGCTGTATTTGCTTTAGAGGAAAGAGCTGTATGCACTGCCTGACTAGAATCCTACCATTTTACTGAGCAGTACACTAAATATTCTTCTCTAAGCCTGGTGTTGCTTTCTTCTTTTGCATAGGCTAGATGATTTGCACATTTATGAACTATTAAGCATCCTCTATACACTCCCCTTAGGCTCAATAAAGTCATGAAATTATTTCTGCCTAGGTCACATTTATTAATTTCAGTCTCTGCATAAGATTTACATTTTACTGCAGCTCAGGAGGAAGAAATGAAGCCAGGGTTAAAGGGAAACATAAATTGTTAGCTTTTGCCAGTTTATATTATCCTCTTTTACCACTCTCTGTGGTTCAGGAAATTTATTTTATCTTCCTGTAATCACCTTCCTGGATGCAGTGGGTAAAAAAGAAAGATGCAGATAAAAGATAAAATAAACAAACATAAGATCATGGCTTCCATACTACAGTTAGTATAAAATAAATTTGAAAGCCTGATTGAAGTTACCTATTAAAATACTGCTACTGCTGAAAGAGGTGGAGGGGTAGCTCATTCAAGTGCAATGTGGGAGATCCAGGGTCAGAACCAGCGAACAGAATTCTCTCCACAGGCATGTAGATTCAGATCTTTCTGCCTATGGAAGGATCTTCCTGACACATTCTTTAGAGAAGACTAGGAAATGTCAACTGAAAGCACAGTCAGAAATTTGCAATGTAAAGTTTATTTAAAAAAAAAAAAAAGTTCTGACCAGCTTTCATTCACAAAAACCAAAGCCTAATCTGTAACTAAGGTAAAAGAATAGAAATGGCACTTTCTGTGATGTTCACTGGGAAATTGTATGCAATGGTTCGCAAGGTCTCTGTAGCAATACTGTATTTTGTATAAAACAAAGGCAGGGTAGTTCCAACTTTTGATCCCTCTCTCCATAAACATATTTTTCACATATTACAATTGATTCAAATCCCAACTTGATAGCTGGTTTGGGGCCTGCTCTGTTAAAACAAACGAAAATAAACAAACAAAAGACAAAAAAACCCAAAACCTCCAGACATCTAAGGAATAAATTCTTTCTCCTTCTTAGATGTTCCTTCTTGATCTGCAGTTATGGATCTGCTGAGATGGATAATTTCATTCACAGCTAGAAATAACTGAAAACTTTTGTTTCACATTTTGCTTTGAAATATTGCATTAATTGTGTTTTTCTCCTCAGTATAGGTGCTTCACTGACATTTTAGGATCTGTCAATGATTCTAAACTTCTTGGAAAAATAACCATCGTTGCTGGTAATAAGAAAATTGCTGTTCCACAATGGAAATACTTGAGCTTTTACTTATCTCCCTTAATGTGAAAGTTTTAAACACATTTTAATAAAAAGCCCTTTTGAATAGTAATCAGAAACATCTACTTTTGTTACAAGTACTCTATTTCTACTATGAAATTAGATGCATGCTGTTTTGAGTGACAATAGCCTCTGCTGAACTTCACTTTGTAGACAGGTAAAACCTCAGCTACATCTGCAGCTGAATATATGGCCAGTTACTAAGGCAGTGTCATGTTTCACATACAAAATGCAGGTTAAATGTTGAAACTAGCATGTGACTTAATCTGGTAAGAGTGGAATAGACTGTCAGAGAAAGTAAACTGGAAAATGGGCAACCAGTTGAACATGTTATATTTTAATTTGCAGAGACAAAAATGACAAGCAATTTATTTACATAAAACTGTACAAAAGCAAATTAAATTATGTAAATATTTCATAAATAGAGGTGGACTAGCGTTTAATACATTTTGCCATGTTTAGCATAGTTGCGTGCATAGTGACTCATAATAAACAATGATAAATTGTTCTCTGCTTCACTATCAACATCCAAGTTGCAGAACAATAGTCAATGATTAATATTACAAACAGATCGTACCACACTGAATGCAAGTGCTTTAAAATTTAGGAAAAAGTTGTCTGAAAGCATACCCCAGGTAGCTGGTGAATGTTGTCTTCTTCCTAATGTTTATGCTCATTCAGTCAGTAATACAACTTAATTGAGGGACTTTAATTTCTATTGCTATTTCATCTGCTTTGTTCCTGATGAAAACACTGTATATTTATCATCAATGAAACAAAAGGAAAAATATTTCATTGTTCAACTTCCTTACAAGTGTTTGGTGATGGCTGGATTTATGGCAAGGTCCTTATCCATATTCCTTATTTTCCTGCTTGACAACTTCCTAGGGTAGCCTTTCAGCAATCACTTCAATCCCATTTAAGTTCTTTCCCCACATAAAAATAATGTTTAACTTTTTTTTCCTGAAACTCAGGCAGCAGGCCAGTCAGAAACCATATTGGATAAACTTAGTGGGTCTGAGATCCAGAATGAGCATTAGATTTTAGATCAAAGCTATTGAATTTTCTAATACATATAAAGTTATATATTAATGCATCAATCTATAAAGGTGCCCTAATGTAAAATACATGCAAAGCTCATCTGAGTTTCCCATGGAAGGAAATAAAGAAGATGATTTCTATACTGTACAACTGAAATGAGATGATGGCTAAAAGCAATTAAAAAAAAATTTGTCAATTTTCCTGGCAACATGAACTGGTGACACCTTGCTAAATAACTATCATATAGACTGATCATAATTTTTCAGGCAATAGAATTAAAAACAAATTAAAATAACCCCAAATCCCACACAAATAGTAATAAAAAAATCCTCAAGACCTACTTAAACCACAGCCTTGTGTTAATAATGCTTAAGACTGGTCCATTAACTGAGTTTGGCAAAAGGCTTGTTTTTAAATATATTATTTATAATTTCTCAGAAAATAAACACAGGTAAATATACAGGTTCAAAAAAGTTGGGAATAGCCCCTTATCCCTCAGTGTCCAAACCCAACTACCACTTTACCATAATAATAGGTATAAAAGGCACAGTTGCATATTTTGCATTCACCCTAATTATTTTTTATAGCTTTATTTGTTTATTTTTATACAAAAGCACTCTATTTATGGAGTGGCACCAGATTTAACCTATTTCAAATAAAGAGGAAAAATACAAACACAAAATATATTTGTATGTCATGCCAGGTCAGAAGAGTAATCAGCATATTAATAGTGGCTAGTTCCACTAGAATTACTGTGAATACTTACAGTAGACAGAATTTTAAAAAATTCTTTCACACGCATTTTAGATCTAAAGAGATGCACACAAGTAAATTATTTCATGTCTTATGTAGTGTAAAAATTGGTGAGTGACTGCTGATCCATTTAATCTGAAGGTCTATTATGACCTGTATTATTAGCCTTGTAGAAAAAGTGTCTAAGAATATACGGAACCCAGCTACCTAATTTATTTTCTTGTGTGTAATATTAAATAAAATCTTATTAAAGGAAATTCTGTTGAACATTTGTGTTATGCAATTGTGTATTCTGTTGAAACGTGCAAGAAAAATGTGTATACATTACATAAGCATTTTAGAAGCATTTTTAAACAGGTACTTACAGATTATACAAAGCAGCAACTGCTATACGCAGTCTCATAACAAAGTACTAGCTTGCATCTCTCCATATTAAATAATTAAACATAAAAATGTTCAATCATTATTAATCTTTGCTTTTAATATTTTCTTTCTAAAATGTGCCCATTCATCATAACTGTTATACACAAACTAATGTTACTTTTGAAGAAAGTAAACTCAAGAGAGGAGAATGAAAAGGCCAATAATGGCACATCCCACTATACGGAGAAGTGAATTCAAAAGATAAATGTGATGAGTTGTTTTGATTTACCAACCTCTACCTTAGGCTGTTTAAGGTTATTTCTATGCAATTCTTCAAAGTAAGAAACTACCCAAAGCTACATTGTGACTACAGTATACTAGAGAGCCATCTAGCCATGCCTTCACGCCAGGTTAAACAGCCAGGGATCTGAATGCTTTCCCCCTCCTTGAGCTGTCCTTGCTGTGTTGTTCGATTGTCACTTTCATCTGAATATCTGAGCTCAGTCTGCCATTATTTCTACAGTATCAAGTACAAAGCAATTGTTTGTCATTCTGCATGTTTTGTTGCTTTTATTGCACAAAAACCTGTTCCTTTTCCTCTTCCTTTCAAGAATCATTCACCATGAGAATTGTTACAGCTTTTGCATATCACAGTAGCTTTGACTCCTTTTGACTCATCTTGACCTGCTAGGTGAGTATCATACCGCTGTTTATCAGACCATTTTCTACTTATGCTAAATGTTCTGAGCCTTGACATCATTTAGTATTGCACTTCTCTTGGGTTTAATGCACTTGGTTTTAAGAAAGCTTTCATTATATCTTTGACATAATTGAAGCAATTGGTAATCTGCAACACTGATGACCAAAGACTTAGCAACCATTCTTTGCAATCTGAAAAGAAGCTTCTGTATTCAACTTGTAACATCCTCTTGTTACTGCACCATCCCATTGTCCACCTTTTCCCTCCCATCAAGCACTCTTATTAACACAGCCTTCTATTACTACTATTATTTTTAAATTTTGATCTTGAAAGTTCCCTGGCATATGCAGCATATCATATGCAGCTTCTGCTGCAACATATCACATCACTACAAAAAAACCCCACATCAATTCCTTTGGGCATTCAATTGAACCGCACTGAAAAAAAAATTGTCATCTGGGCTTGTGAACTGCGCTGCTGTGCAAAAAAAAGAATGTGTGTTATGAGCACATGTGTTTATTTGTGAATACATTAATTTTCTAAGCCAAGCCCCAATACTTAGCAGTTCCCCTGATCCGTTGTGTGATCTTTGGCCTTTTTGTTATTACAATCTTCCCACCTAGATGTTAGTCTTGCCCAAAATAATGATTTCAACAGTTTATCATTACTATCCTATGGTATATGCATTAGTAATTGTGTTTACATTGAAGTAATCATTACAGAGAACGAGAGAGAAGGATAGAAGGAGACACAGCAAGACATGTTTGTTTGATGGATAAAACAGAACCAGAGTCCATGAATCACAGGAAAGGATGGCATGTTTTTGACTGCAGTCTCAGGCTGAACATATTTCTGTTGCTTCCAGCCTCAGATGAGAGGTGAGAGAATTAAAGCTGTGGTCTTCACAAAGTGCCTATTAATGATTATTCCTTTATACTTATCTCTATATCTGTATGGTTTCTGAAGGATTGTCCCTGGTGGGGATCAGCAATATTCAGATGATATGTTTTGAGTACATTTTCCCTGACATGTTATCCTCAACAAGCCAGATGACAAACAAACAAAATGAGTGGCTTAACTCATGCTTCTGCAGAGGGGAAACAGCAGTGTGTTGTGTTCTTTTTAATCAAGCTCGCTACTATGGGAGAAATTTGCAACCATAGATTTAGGAAAAATAAAAATCAGCAGAAGGGGGAATTAGACATGCAAGTAACAACATTTTCTACATTGTACAGTATAGTCAGGCAGACAGTATAATTACATGCCTGCTATGGAGGCAGAAGTGGCAGGCAGATCTTTTGTCTCTTTGGTGGCCCCCTCTTTTTTGTTTATTTTTTTCTTAAAATTGTTGCGATTTTAAGACTTTTTCCCCATTTCTTTCTTATAATATGAAAGAATTTTTTTGCTGCTTTTTAGCCTACAGGTAAACTTCTCTTCTAGTTAGAGTATTGACAGGAGATGGCTTGTATTCCCCTGTCTGTGTAAGGGGGATATCCTCTGGATTGCCTTCTTCATTTTTGCTGAAACTAGCCGCACTGAAGGTCTCATAGGATGAGGTCAACTTTTTGTTAAGGAGGTTTCTGTTGCGATCACCCATGAGGGAGGCTTCTCCATTGGCCAGCTTTTCCTGACTGCCCCGTTCATCAACAGGCATGAAAGTGGAGAGTTTTGGCTGGCTCTTCTGCTTTCTCTCCGGAGAAGTGCGGACTGGCATCCAGCAGGAGTCCGAGTGGCCATATTCATCACACTCTCGGGTACACTTCCCTGTCAGAGCTACATCTGGAAGAGGCCGTGAATCTGAAAATAAAAGAGAATTGTCTTTACAAATTAATATTACAATGACTTCAGTTGAAACTGAGAATCCTTTAAATTCACAAAAGGTATTTTTAAAGGTCTTTGTAGGAATGTTGTAGTAAGTTCCTCAATAATAATTTTTTCACATTGTATGTGCCCATAGGCAATAAGCAGATCTGTACAGTTATCCTCTACCTCAATAATTGAAAAAAAGAGACTATTCATCCACTTCCTGTGCTTGTAAATCAACTCCAGGAACATTTGGTATTAGGTAGTGAATGAATTTTGAAGTTTGAGAGTTAAACAAGGACTTGTTTCCACACTGCCAGTTTTCTTGAAATTATTAAAAATACCTTTCTTTAAGTTTCTTGTAGAGAATGCTTTGAATTTATGTGAAAGGATCCTAAGACCCTGAATCCTGCAAATACTTATGGACATACTTAATGCTCTACAAGTGAGTAGATCTGTTATTGACAATGGGATTCAATTTGCACATAATGTAAACCTCTGCTTGTATTTCTCAGGATTGGGCATTTGTTGTTAGTCCACAATGTTACATGAGTTGTACAATCAGTAATTGCAGGAGTATACAAAACATTTGCTATTGGTTATAAACTTAATGAAAAATGTACAGGTAAAGCTGGCAGTGGGGTGTGTGTGTGAATATGTATGCTGGGACATAGGGAGAATCTGAGTGCTGCCTAAAGACAAACAGGTGGCTTTTAATATTTGTGCTTTCATACTTGCATTACAACAGAATTTAAAAGCTACCTTAACTATTTTAAGGATTGGGTAAGATTCTGAAAACTTGTTTTTATTTATGGTCTGCAAGAAATAATGGAAACTTCCTAAAAAGTAACAACATGATATTCAAACAAAGTTGACAAAAAATATAAATCAACAAATTTTTTTCAGTGGGCTTGATATGACTTTCATATGATATGATATACTTGATGAAACATTTAGGGTTCTTTTTATAAAAAAATTCATTATCTTAGGGATAAGGGAACAAGGAGCTTCCATACAGAAACACAGTCAGGTACTTCATATGGACTGTGACATCTTTCTGCATTCCCAGTACAACACCCAAATTCATCTGAACAATAATTTTTTTCGGTAATAACATGTGCCTTATAAAATGTCCTTCAAAAGGCCTATTTAATCTTCATTTTATTACTTCTATTTTACCTATTTTAGTTTGATTTTGGCTACCAGACGACCTCAAACAATGACAATTTAATCTGTGAATTTTTTATAAATTGATAAAAAAGACCACTGATTAAGTTAAAAAAACCAGTAAAAGACCAACCAACCAACCAAAAAAAACCCTTGCAGCTAAAAATCCTTTGCTTCTTGCAGAATAAACTATTTTCATGTAAAATATTTACAACACGTGTTTGTAGAGAAAATATACTTTGTTGCAACATCTGTGGATTTAATCCTGATAGAACTGCAAAAGCTCTTTTAAGTCAGGTTTATGTTCATCCTGTCCCGATTTTTTCATGCATTTAAACATTAAATTAATTAGTAATTTCTTGTAGTATTGTAAAGAATATACATATTATTTGCTATTGACAGATGTCAACATTTTATAGAATCTCCTGTTTGTATTCTGAATACAGTATAATATTTCATATGTCAATATCTCACTGATTTTAATGAAGAAATAGCCCTGGTGTCTAGATAACTGAGTAACCCTGTAAGTGAGATGTGTAAGGCTGGGAGGAGACAATTGAGTTCTTTTAAATTTTTTAATTTTTTTTCCCCCAATTGTACTTTTGAAGGCTTTTGCACTTAGGCTCACCCACTTTTTTTTTTTTTTTTTTTTTTTCCCCCGATTATGAATGCAAAGATTATGGACAGTTATCAACCTATCAGTTTTCAGATGACTGTGTTCTGGAGACATACACAGAAGAGAGTGATGGTAGCAAGAAAATCCTCTAATTGCCAGCTAAATCAGTATTATTCTGGCACTCCCTAAAGGTAAGAAGCATAATTAACTGCTGAGCTGTACCAAATGTGCTTTGATTTTTAAACAGGATTTTGCATATTTTTACAACAGTGCCAATTCCTTTAAATCCCCATAAACTCTTCAAACAGCACCTTATTTCTAAACAATGGTCACTGAGCATTATGCTTGCTACAAGTATTTCAATTATTATTCTATCAGTATATTACCAAATGCTTATCTAGATAATATGTCTGACCTTTATTTAAAACAAAAGACCATGTGTGTATTGAAGAGGGTTTCTTTTGTTGTTTTGAGGGGTTTTTTTAAGATTGAAAGAATTAATATCTCATTACATCCAATGGTTTCTTTTTAGCTCAAACAAATCTTGAGCCAGCATTACATGGGTTCATAAAAATTCTTCCCTTGCTAGTGGTCCTTGAATCATGCAATTCAAAATGTACTATTTTTCATTGTAGTGCTTCCCCTACTCACTGCTGAACAAATGCTTAATACAAATTCCTTATTGTAAAGCATGATGACTTATTGTACAATTCAGCCTTATAGTGCTGTTTTATGAAGCAATAACCTCCAAGTCAGTGTGTGGCTGAGTTGCCCTGTTGTGTTATGTAATAAACTTCATCCTCACACCCACAGAAGAGACCAGAGAGACACAGAAGGGATAATACAAGCCCAAATAAAACCCTGAGTGGCTACTCTCAGGCTCATCATAGGACCATCAGCCCCTCAAGGGTCCATCTGCCCAGGAACACAGGGGCGTATAGTGGCAGATACGAACTCAAAATAAGTACTTGGAAGGAACAATCATCTTTTTGTCTAATGTGGATTGTTCTCTAGAGATATAGAACATGTTATAGGATATGGGGGGAAAGAGTCTGGAATAACACAGGACTTATGTGATGTTTAAGGGAGAATCCAAAGGGAAGATGTGAGGGTTTTAGGTCATTTGTGAAGGAACAAGAGTGGGAAAATAGAGACGTAAGAGGATAAAAGTGCCATTCATGTAAATAGTTTGCTGGCTAAGAAGATTTTTGGTTATGTCTTGTGACTAATGAGCACAATCTATCCTGTCTTCCTACTAAATTCCTTTCTAACTCTTTTCTGGGTATGGGTTGCCTATGATGTGTGCATATGCATGTATACATATGAGTTTGTCCACCCTCACAAGAGGGCTTCATTCCTGTCCAGCCAGAAAAGAGGACAGAATGAGGCCAGTGGTGCTGTCTGTGTTCATGTGAGTTCTCTGAGTGTCTGTGATCTGTAGGGACAACTGTGTACATTTGGTGTATGTGCTCTGTGTATGTGTCTACTGGGAATGCATCTTCATCTTTGCTACTGGTTGGACCTGGGGACATGGAGCAGCAGCAGCAGCCTCACCTCCCTCAGGCTGTCAGATCTGGTGTCATATATTTTTCTCTAAAACACCCTTCAAATAATGTTTGGCACTTACAGTTAATGTAGCCTTCTACTCCATTGCTTTCTTGCATCTGTTCTAAGAGCTTGAATCAGTACAGCATTTAAGCACTGATTTAATCTAACAGGGTGTTAAACTTGTTGCATTTTAATTGCTCTTCTCTTTAAAAGATGGACATAACTTCAGCATTTTGGGGGGGGCAGGGAAGGGGAAGGATGGAATATTTAGTGTGTGTGTTATATCAGAAGATGAGTAAAACATCCACTGATTAAACTATTACCTGTACCTAAACTAGTCAGTTAAACAAAGATTGTGTGCTTTTTATACACTGCGGTAGATAACAGATATTAAACCTTAATTTTGGATAAAATGCCACACCCCTTTAGCTACAAAATGATTAACTATATTTTTGCTAATTCACTGAACAGATCAACCCTCTTTTGCAAAGTAGTGACTTTATGTTCTTTACTTTAAATTATCTAGCCCATGGAGTTTTGAACAATCCCTGAATTTGACAATAAAATAAAAAAAAAAAATTACCCTTGTCCTCTAGAATAATTTACATTCAGGCATAACTATCTCTAAGTACTTCTTACTTTAAAAGTTAAACACTATAGTAGTGATCTCACTGCCAGCTGATAAGCCTTATGGAATATGACACAGGAAAGAATTTGTCGGCATAATTGGCAAATCATCAAGGAATAGTAAAACAGATTTCTACCACAGTTACATATCTGGAAAACAAATCAAGTAAGTTCTTAAAATGTCACTTACTGACCAAAAAAATTTTATCACAATGCTAATTAGTGAGAAAGATGTATGATATTTGTTGTTATACAGAAATTTGTAGATGTGGGATTAGATTCTAACAGTTTATACAAAAACTAGTCAAATTCAAGCATAAAAAGATCATCAAAGGTACAACGGAAGATGTAATCTTAGTTATTTTCAAGTATATCTTCTTATGATGTCTGTAGGTCAGAAGAAGGTATTGCTCGATTATTTACAAAGCCACTGTAAACCCCCTCCCTAAAATGCAGATATTTAGAAACGTAAATGCAGATATTTAGAAGAGTAAACATGTAAATGGAGGCTTCAAAAATAAATATTTTAAAATAGATTTAACTTGCCACTGCTCAGACTTTGCTATGAAAAAAATTGGAGTACACTAAATTACAGGGTCCCCCAATCTATTTTCTCACTGTACCTGATATAAGCTTTCACCACAAATTTTAAAAAGTTAGCTGATAAAAGTTCACATTTTTTTAAACAGTAGTAATGATTCATCCTACAAATCTTTAAACATTTATGGCTAATTTCTGAGACGTTGATTTGTTTCATATTTTCCATAAAACTTTGTACAAAAGCATGCAAATGAATGGAAATTATGCTCATGTTTCTGTAATTTTATCTGACTGTTGCTTTAGGGCTAGTAGGATTGCTTATCATCAAAAATGGAAGGCACCTACCACTGTAGTGTGGAGAGGGGAAAGATGATATTCTATATCCGGTTAAAGCCAAAGAAACCAACAGCTCAAATATTCCACTCAAACAGTTTCCCACTATTTTCTCTCCTCCCATTCCTTATCAAAGAGGTTTAATATATTTTATCAAGTACAG